CTCCTAGTGAGACAGGAGATGCTGCCTGAGAGGCACATTTAGTTAGAGGTCGTTATGAAAGGATACTTCAACCGATATATATGTATATATATATACAACAGAAGGAAATAAGACCGGGGACAAAACACAGTGAGACAGAAGTTCTAAAGCGACCGACAACCAGTACCAATGCATGATAGTTGTCAATCAGGATATGGGGAACTAAAGCCATGAGCGCGTAGTGTGTACGTCGGATGAACTGCTGGTCCAAGAAACTCGCGAGCCTCACCAAGAACAGACATATGTAGTGCGTCGGGATGAAACCCCTTGCACGAATCATGACAATGCAGAATATCCATACAGCCCCATCGCTGTCAGGCAGATGCAGAGCAGTGATCTGTACACTTTAATTTCGGGGGTGTCCTGCGTTTAGATTTCTACTAATCACTTGAGTCTATATAAGCCTGGCCTTGTTTTGTCCCCTTAAAGGGAGACAGCACTGCTGGAGGCAGCTTCTGATAGACCAACCCATTCAAAAAGTCTACACGGCTCTGAAAACATTGCAAAATTTTTGAGGGCCAAAAAGGCATAAATTTGGTGGTCAACTACGCAACGTCTACGCGTAAGACAAAACGGAGTCCAGTCCCGAGAGTAATCGGAAGAAATGGTTTCGCAACTTACTGGGTGTATGTAGGGAATGGCGATATATGTACACCGTAACAGTTGGGGTTATATTTCTGCAAATATTCACTCGGTTGGTCAAGCACTATTTGATTACGTATAAAGAACTCTGAATTCCGAAGGTGCGACGTATAAGGTACCCGAGTGTACGTCATCGTCTCCATCGGTCCCCTGAGGCCGAAGGGAACAGTAATAACACCGTATGACCATGTTGTGAATAAAAATAATGGTTTTTCTGGCATATATATATATGTAAATATAAGATAATGCAGTTGGCCGTGATAACTGCAACACGGTCAGCGGCATACCAGAACAGCGGAACGATGTAACAATCAGTAAGCGAATGAATTTCCCCATAAATAATAGTAAGACGGACGAACTATGTTGGCGCAATGTCGTAGAATAGAAGCTGAAAGTTGCCAGAATGTTTTTTTGAAACCAACCGGCTGTGCTTTGCAATCCGGAGGAGATGACTGGCACCCTCGCAGAAACTAACTGATGCATGAGCTTAACAGCTATCCTGGAGGCAAGATCTGCCTACCTGATAAGCCCCTAGAAGTGAAACCAACGGCTGTGCTTTGCAATCCGGAGGAGATGACTGGCACCCTCGCAGAAACTAACTGATGCATGAGCTTAACAGCTATCCTGGAGGCAAGATCTGCCTACCTGATAAGCCCCTAGAAGGGCAAGAACGGTCCTAGGCAGTCGAATTGCTTCCATCAACCATGTGAGTATTTTTCTCTATCGAAAAGTCTACTCGCCAAGCTTGGCATTTGGGCTGCAAATGTTTCATCACCAATCGAGATAACTTCGGAGCTGAGTGGGTAAATTCTTCCTCTTCTAGAAGTGCTTATATAGCTTCTAAACTTTATTTAATGCCTCTAAGGTGATCTGATGTTCTCGAGAATGATTGTACAAAATTTGTTTGCTCAGTTGGGAATCTGAGCTTCATTGGGGTTTCTGTCTCTCTGTACCTAGCTGGTTCGTTGGATTTCTTCAGTTCGCTAGCTTATTTCCTTCGTTGTTGCTGGACCGTTTCCTTCCTACTTTGTGGCCTAGTTTTCTTCCGCTTGATTGGTTGATTCGGGCGCCCTCTATTTCTTGTAGTTTTCTTTCGTTGACCCGATCCGTCCGTTGACTGGTTTCAGGTCGTTTGATTTCCCAAGTGGTTCAAAGTACTGCAGTGGTGTAATTATCTGTTTTTGGAGAATGTTATATTGGATATAGTCATGTTATTGATCGATTTCCATGTGGATTCCCGCGCGTTGGAAAAATTCCGTCCCCATCTTGTCCTTACAAGAGCGAGTATTTGCAAGTAACCCCAGCTATACTGACGTCATTCTCTGTCTTCATGAATTGAAACGAGTGAAATTGGATCATGTCTTCTTCCTTTTAAGCTAATGTTCATGCACTCTGGGGGCAAGTTTTCTTCCAGTCTAGCCGAATTCGTCTGACCAGCAAACAGGCAGTGCACGCGGACTATCCATATTCCGCAACGTCACCAATGGCTTCGAAAGTTCTAGGCTCGAAATAACCCGCTGGTACGAGGCTTTCGAATACCATCTGGCTTCCACTCGACTGCGAATTTCCTTCCTCCGCAGAAATTTGCGACAAAACGAATCACCATGTTGCCTGCCAACCGCTGAACCATCCTGAAGCATGCAAGCGGATGACTACGCTGATAATTACAGATACCAAAACAGACCAAGAAAATACAACATGATACTCGACGAACGATGAGTGAAATGCGGTGAGGCCTGCATGAAATCGCCTTGTGCTTGAGAGTATTCTTTGCGCACTTGACAGCCGTACATCTGGTTGTGTTGGGGTTTACAACCATAGGATAGATTGCGTCATTCTTCCAGGAGAATTTGGTCGTGAAGGACGACCACAATCGGTGGCGCGCACCAATGCCCTCGGATTGATGCATAGTCCAAGAATTCAGTGGTCCGCAAGTCGACATGTTCATAAAAAAGCAGTTACTCCGGAATCGGTATGTCGCGATGCTAGACGATTGAATATCTTCATAACTATGCATTTGGGCCTAAAGTATCACGTTGGAGGCCTTTATCCAGCACACACAGACCTGAAGCCATACCTGAACTCACAAAACGAGTGAAAGTGAATTTCCAATCCACAGATACTTTCCTTTCTGGGAACGTCTGGCTACCTAAATGACTTGTTTCGTCCGAAGCACATCGCAGCAGATTTGCACAAAGCTATTATCCACAAAAGACTGTAACTACTCGGTTTGAATTTTTAAGGGACATCGCACTGTCGCATATGCACTGCAATCGTGACTCCACTGTAGTCATTTTGTGTCCGAGGTTGTTTGGCGAGAAACTGTACACGGTTGTCGCATTTTTAAAGCGATGCTCACTCCATGCCTCTCCAAGATGATCAGATTTGGGTTTTCTTCGTCGCAGTAATGAGGAGTTGTTGTACGTGATCACGGAGATTAGCATGAGTGATTTCTATATTGATTTGTTTATATGCTAAAATGAAAAACTTTTGCGCGGCTTATCAGCTGTAAACCTTGTAGAAGCAATATACTATTTCCATCCTGCAGTCTTACTGGAATATAGGGAACAGGTCTCAAGGGAGCGCCGTGCGTAAGGAAGGTGCTTAATCTTATCAGGTGTTGCCACACACAGAGTTTCTGCATTCCTCCCTACGTTTTCAGACA